ATATATATATATATACGTATATTTGATGAGCTGCATTTAATTAGAATATTTATTGTAAATATTAAACTGCACTCGAATGCTCTTTGAACTGGAATATAATTTATACCACATATGTATATATAAACTCTGATTATTTTAACGCCTACATGATATTTTTTCTGAGCTTTCATATTTGTATAGAAATAATATATTTACTTATTGCCAGTTCAATTATTTATGTCTACGATAGACATATTCATATGTTTTAATAAAAAAGCGTTTTTTTGAGATATTTTAGAGATCATGTAATTTATGTTGATAATAATTAATAATACTAAATATATAACAATCCTAAACTTTGCAATTTACTGCAACTTATAAGCTGCATTTTATAAGCTTTCATTCATCATTTGTAGCAGCATAATTTTAATATTTACATTGAATTAAATTAAAATAAATAAAATTCAATTTTATACACTTTTTAAAATTGCAGCTATTTATCTTGTAAAGTTTTTATATAAAGCTCTTATATCTTGCATTTTTATTTTTCTTTGCTAAGAATCACTTTTTCTTTGCATTAACATTTCATATACTTTTCTTTGGTCGCGTATGTTACTTAATAAAATAAAATTTAAATGTATCGTAACGTGTCTATAGCTATCAAAAAAGTGATTCGTTAGAGATATTTATGAAATATTTACTTATACAAAATTAGTTGCCTTAGGTTTTTTGTTTATCGCCACTGACGTTTGTGAAACTTAACTTAAAGAAACATATTAACAGCCTTCGAGATAAATAGTCGAGATAAATAGAGAAATCGTCATTATAAAAAACTGGAAATCACAATATGTGCTATTATATTTTCTACAGAAAGTATTCTATAGAATCTATTATGTATCATGCTCTATATTTCTTTAATTGAGCGGCACGAATGAGTAATTCGAGATCTCAAGTCGAAGATGAATACAAAATGTGCGTTCCAGCTTATTTGACAATTTCACTTTGCTCTGCATTCAAAATATTAGATATATGCAAAAGATTTTAATCTTTTTTTAATTTTTACTTTATGTTTAATATAAGTACTTTTCTTCTGTTTTTTTCGATCAAATCATTTAAGTAATTGGCAATAATATAGTTTAACATTACCAGTTTCATCCGATTTAAGAAATATCTTAATGAAACACATTTTTTATATCTCATCAGATATACAAAAGAGCTTTAATCATATATATATATTTTTTTTAACTAATAATTTTGATATATTATATATATCAAAAAAAAAATATATACATAAAAGTTTCAAAATAATGAAAACAATATTACATAAAACACAATATCTTCATCAAGAAGCAAGTTAATTCACATGTTTTAACAACGCTTTTTTGCTAGAATTCATACCGAATGTAATATCGAATTTAAAGCTTTTCGTTATTCATCGTGTTCATTGTTATTTTGCAAGATTGTGAATCATTAAATTATAAATATGACGTTTCAAATAATTCAATATCAGTCTTACAAGTAGATGAAAAGATGATAAATTATTTGAATTTAAAATAAATAAAATTATATCAAAACATTGTGTGAAAAAAAAAGACTAAAACTTCTGCATATACTTAATACATACTAGGGTCAATGATAAGGCAGTGAAATGTTAATGAATTGTCAGTCTCTAAATAAGGGTAACTATGTATCGCGTAAATTAAAGTTATGGGCAATATCTATTTCGTTGTGGCTTGCTATGATATTACTTCCGTCAATGCTATCGTTTGTCGGTTTTCGACAACAATCTCTCTAGTGAAGAACTTATCATCAAAAATCAGTTTTACGCAGTACGGTGAGAAGTATATCTCTTTCGTCGGAAAATAAAGGCGAAGATCGAGCGAATTCGCCACCATCGGCTGCGTCTGCGGGATCTCTCTTTAGTGCGAATTTGCCTGATCAGTGAGAAAAATGCATCGTCTATGAATTGTCTGAGAGCGGCGGATGTCTCGTAAAACGGACAACCGAGTTCTTCCGCCAATGCCTTGCCTTCCTCCGTGGTCACCTAAAATAAGCAACAAGTTCAATGTATGCGAGAAATATATTTCATTGTTCTTGTATGCTGTATGTATTCACGATTTCTGATATGTCATGGTCAACTCGACAGCATCTATTACACCTTTCGATGATGTTGTAGATCAAACTTATTGCCAACTACCACCAGAGGAATGTTCTCATTAGCGCGAACACGTGATATTAGTTTTCTGTACTCCATTGTCTCTTGGAAACTATGTCTATCTGTTACCGAGTAACATATCATAAAACCTTCGCCGCATCTCATATATTGCTCCCGCATTGCTGTGAATTCCACCTGTATACAACAGTATACAGAGTCAGATCCATTTCCGTTAGTATACGAGAAAGGAAAATGCATGAAGAACACTTGTAATTATGATTGTGATTATTGTAATATATAAGTCTCGAACCTGTCCAGCTGTGTCTAAAATATCCAGGAGAGCTGCCTCGCCATCGATAACTACTTGTGTCTGATATGAATCCTCTATGAATAAAAGAGAAAGAGTTATCTCATTTGTGCATTGACCTTGACAATTCAAATTAGATATTTAATCTCTCAAACTCTATACATTAATTAATTAATATCTAGTTGTTTTCTACTTCTTTATAAGATTTATTTGAGAATTAACGAGCTCAAACTTTCTTTGCACAGAATGCGACTTACCTATTGTAGGGTCATGATAGTCTAAAAACCTGTGACTGACAAACTGCAAAGTGACAGCTGAAAAGCAAGACATGTAATTATAGTACAGTATGCACAGTCAAACATTTGATGAAATATTATTCCAATAAATCAATTAGACGACCAGGATACCTGATTTGCCAACACCGCCGTCGCCCAGCACCACGATTTTGTACACCCTGAGTCCGCTTCTGATGGTAGGCTGCGTTAGCACCCGTATGTCGTCCTTGCCGTTGCAGGCAACGTTCTTGTCATACGGGATGCCAGCCGCCGTCGTCGCCGTAGTCATCGTGGTGGCTGGTCGGCCGAGCATACCGGCGTGCGTAGGTATTATTATACGTACGTTCTACGTACGTGGCCTGATACCCGCGACGAGCGCCGACACACTTATCCTACGACGAGGCGGCGACTGGCACACTTGATCGCATCGTATCGAAGCGCGACCAATTCAATGGACACACCCGTGTTATTGCCGGCGACTGTTGAGCGATGGACGTCGCGGACGACGCTGTGACTCATGTTTAACGCGTGGGAGAAACACGTTCAGCTTCAGGTCCTCGTGGTACCGCATAACATGACTTAACGTCTGTCGACTGGAACGCGCGCTGATCAACACAAATTCGCCAAGAATGACAACGCGCGTGTGTTTCGTTCTGAAGCCTGTAAATGCTTGTCATTCATATGATTTAATGGCTAAACCGGTATTTTGGCCTAATTGTGTGTGTATGTATGTGCGCGCGTGTGTGTGTGAATTAGAAATCCATAGTAAAAGGAAGATTTTAATGATCCTTATATCGATTTAATGCAAATCAATTTGTTCATAAGTGGAAAGCTCTTACCGTCTATTTATCTCTGATGTAGAAGTTAGATAGCATTTATGTCTTGAATAATTTATAAATGTTAAACTTATATTATTTCGTTTTATAATTAAGTGACGTTTGAAAATAATTATTTATGTGAATTCTTTCATTCCAATTAGATAAAAGATTAGGCGATAGTTAGGGTACGTTTTTTCGATATTCTAGAAAAATCGGAATTATTAAAATATATTTTTTAATACAGTAAATTAAATTTGGCTCTAATTTTATATTCTTTTAAAATAAATTTTATTTATTATTATTTTTAGCAAGTCATATATTTTATAACATCAAGAATTCAGTCACTAAAATTTAAATTCATAGCTTCAGATTTATCCTAATTCCTGGAGAGAAATTGGATTTTAAAAAAATTGAGAAATTGTATTAAAATATTTTTGTTAATTTTTTGTATCCAAATTTATTTATCTCTTTCTTCATTTATATGACTATGTTTTATACCATTCTTGTAAAATATTGATATACCATACCAAGCTTTTTTCTAATAATATGAATAAAAACGTTACATATATGCAAAAATTCGCAAGTACAATCCAGATTATTGCACACAAGCCATACATATATTATATATATATGTATATATACAAAATATAGATACATATTTTTTATATATACATATATACATATCGAAAATAATATTTTTATATTAAGTGTGTATATTTTGTATACAGTAATTCTACAAGACATTCTATGTGTTTGTAAATAATGAATCTCTTAATATAAGTAAGACTTTATATCCCATTGATTATAAAAATATGTATTATATAAATAAAACCCCAACTTCAAAGCATAATGTACATAAATTTAAACTATAAATAGTTGCTTTAGATAAAATATTTATCACAGACGGAGTTGGAAAGCTATAATACAAATCGGAAGAAAATATCAATTCGGACGCCAGTCTTACAAGATAAATACATCTAACTATAATAATCACTTGTTTACTAATAATTAAAAATTGTTTAATAATCTTTTCTCTTTAAGCTTAATTAATAATTCTCAGCTTTGTTTGCGTTATATAAGTATAATTCAATATATAGGAAGAAAACTTATTAAAAATTATTTGTATGAATAAACACTGGTGCATTCAATCCTTATATATTATTCTACATTATGCATATTTATGAGTATGTGCATGTATATACAGTTCTCCTAAAATATCGGAAGAGATAATTACAATTAATTAAAGTCAAAATTTAATTGCAGTTGACAATTAAACTGACGTTTATGTAGCTTCAAAATTTTTATATTCAAATAATTGAATTATTCCAATGGACTAACATATTTTTTGTCCTTAAAAAGAATATTTGTATAAAATTTTATATAAAATATAGAATGAGATCTATTTAATTATAATGTATAATATATAAATATATAATTATATTAATTTAATTAAAAAT